CTAATGTAAAATATATATAATTTGGGACAGTGGCTTGGGACCAAGGGCTTCCCTTCCCAGATAAGCGCCCTACGTAACAGCCATGCTCACTCGGTCATTCCTCAAGCTTGCTTGCTTTTCTGCAACGACAGAGTTTCCCTGTGCCTGAAGAAGGGTACTTGCACCCAAAAGCTTGCAAAGAACTTCGTTCAAACTACTCAGTTGGTCTAATAAAAGCTATCATGTCTACTCAAGGAACCTTGCCAGCTTTAAATGGAGAACTGGAAGGTGCCCCCAGTATATCACCAGGGTGACTAGGGCACTCACTTGAGAGAGTGGGGTCGAAACCCCTTCAGAGAAAGAAAGTACTCAGATTCGGATATCCTGTCTCTTAAGTGAGTTCTCTAACCACTGACCTATTGTATATAAGCAGGTGGCTTCCTCTTCTTCCCGCTACTTTTGACAGAAAAGTTTCTTCCCTGTTCATTTTTCTGAAAGAAAATAGGTAGATTTCTAGCTTCCAGCGAGGACTCTGGGATGTGAATCCCAAATAGGAGGCGGCACCTGTTGGAAGTGCAAATTAAGTACCTCAGCCCCAGAAATGGGTGTATCAGCCCTTTCCTCAGTGCTTCCCACTGGCTCCCTGGATGCTTTCCCAAGTACTGGGCACATCTACATGAGACGCTTTACTGCACAGTAGACCAATTTACTGCGCAGTAAGCATCACCATCTACACATGTAGATGCTTCTGTGCAGTAAATTGGTCTACTCTGCAGTTAATTTGCCACAGCCTTCTCCTAGCCCTGTGCTCCCTGCCAACCCTTGAGCTAGCACCCAGGGGGAGCCTGGACCTCCCCCTGGCTGCTGCAGGGGGGCAGAGCAGGGTGGGAGCAGCCCTCTCCTGGCTGCTCCCACTGGGAGAAAATCTGTTCCCAAGAGGGAGCACATGTAGACATATTTTTACTGTGCAGTAAGCCTACTTCAAATTAATTGTGTGTGTAGACACACCCACTGTGTGGGAAACACAGAAGCCTAACTGAGCACCAGGGATCCTGCTATGGGGGACAGATGCCTAACTCCCTTTAGGTCTTGACCTTTGTTCTTTCTTTTTCCACCTGAAACTAGGGAAGCTATTTTTACCATCACCATTTGATCCCTGCCTCTATACACAGCTTTGTTTCTATTCAGTTGCAAATGTTTATGGAACATATTCATCACTTATGTCTATAGTTCAGGGACAGATTTTTACCATGGGATTCTACAGAAGTCTGATGGGTCATAATAACATATGCATTAGCAAACTGCATGGACTAATTGTGATTTGAAAGCAGTCTGTGCCTAAAGAAACATGGATCTCTTGTTTCACCTCATAATAGTGACCTATTGCTCTTGTACAATGTATGGATAAGCCATAAGGGTAGTGTATAATTTCTATTGGTATGAGTTCTGGGTGGCTACATTCTGTATAAAACACAGGTGCTCCCACACAGTGAGTGCATGCTAAATTTTTATAATAGAATTAGAGAAGCTATTGTGCTTGAAGTACTTGTGTCACTTTATAAAATTATAAAAACCCACTAATCTTTGTTACCTTTAAAACTGCATCTTTACTTCAGCATTTTCCAGTTGCTAGCATATTCCCAAATGTGACTCATACTAAAATGCAACTCATTTGTGTGCACTGAGTGTTATTTAGCCATGGGAATTGTAAGTGCCAATGCAGAAGAATTTATATATAAAGTGGCATTTTATATTACAACCCATAGACATAGTTAATGGAAATGCATGTATGTACATGCACGCGCACACACATACACAAATGTAATATAAATATATTAATCTATTTTGTTACTACAGATTATATAACCTTAGGATAACAGGTTTCCTCCATTGGGATCTACAAACCATCTTTATAATGAGATAAATATATCCCTAAGAGACAGCAAAATATGCACATTTTGACAATCTTTGAAGGCAAATAATCAGACTTATTTACTGGAAAAATATTTTTTGCAGAGGAAGAAAAATTAATATTTCATTTTTCTGATAAAATGTAGAAATGCTCTTAAACTCACCACGCTAGAAATAGAAATACAAAATGATGGGTGGTGTTTTTAACTAACACATGTAGCATCAGAACTAAATGAAGTCCCTTGGCAACCCCAGTCTGTAACACTTGGCAACACTGACAGAGAGATGTGTTAATGCATATGAAGCCCGCAGCTGCTGTTAACATCCTATAAATCTCAACAGTTGTTGAAATTCTATTGCCATCACAGAAGCAGTTTGCATGAAAGCTGCTTTAAAAAAATATGGTCCTTGCTATTGTAGACATTTTTGTCAAATACACAGTCTAAATTGAAACCACCCATTTACTTTACAGAAAAAATGTGGTAGCGTAAGTGGGGTTTTTTACTGTAAGATAAAAATGGCAGGCCTTACTTTAAAAACTCTTTCTAGTCATCCTGCCTTGTCTTCCTTCTTTCCTCAGGTTACTAGAAAAGCTTCCTTCTGCACTCACTGACACTGATGGAAACGCTCCCAGTGACTTTCAGTGGTGCAAGATAAGGCCTTTTCTGAGGTGCTTAGCAACTCTGAATATCAGGCCTTTGTATTTGATTCTGGTGGTGATCTTTCCTTTGGAACTCTTGAGTGATGGCTATTTCAAAGAAGTAAAGAAAAAGATGTCAGGTCCTCTGGCCACAGATGTTAAGACTGCAAATATTTCTTCTTCCATATCTCTCTTGGAGTAAATAAGCAAACTCAGATGAATAACCTGAGTTATAGGCATACTACAGCATGAAAAAGCCAGAAATCCAAACAAATCTTCAGAATGATCTGAAGTATTTTTGCATCCTATGCCTTGGTTGTAAGAGTAATGGTCCAACTCTTCAACTGCTGTAAACAGGCAAAGCTCCCTGGATTTCCACAGGTGTACGTGGATAGAAACACGCTCTGAGAACTTGGCTCATTTATTTAAGAACTGAAGCTCTAATCTTTTCATATTGAAATAATTCATTGACCCAACCTGTATTTTCCCCCAGAAGCTTTTGTTAGATCTGTCATGCTTTTGTCATTTCTGTGCGAGCCTGAACAGCAGTGTGCCAACTAATTAGCAAGAAATACAAAGTTGAGCTTGCTTATTTTTTGTCCTTAAATAAACAACAAAAATGGATGAGTTACTAATTCTAATCAATCCATAATTACTAAGAGAAACTGAATATCGATTAAACAAATAAGAAAATGTAGGGCTCACTATGGCCAGTAACTCATGTCACAGGGAAGTCCGTGGAAACATCCAGATCAGCTTGGCCTTTCAAGTGGAGCTCAATATTAACCCAACTTTACTAGCCCCACTATCTTTATGTGGTGCTGCACAGCCCAGTGCAAATGTACCCTTTGAGGGAAATCGTCAGTTGTTCTTCAGAAGCCTGGTTCGCCCCCGCTTTGTGCCGAACACGGTCCTTTATTTCTGTTCCAAGGGAGTGCCCATCAGGTGTAAACCATTACAGGTGTGATTTCCTTCTTTTGCACCAGTTACACACTAGCATAGCTGCCAGGTCATACCGGTGCCAGGTGAGGGCCAAATACAGAATTTTGGGTTTGGTAGCGTAAGATGCCAAGTTTGCACAGATTAAACGTGCAGCACATGGTGCAAAGCAGTGGACAGATGGCAATAAGCCATGAATTTCCAGTCCCATTGAAATCAATGGAAAACTCCCATTTGATTGAATACGTGAGGATATCAAAGGTACCTAACAAGTGCCAGTAACTTCCATTAGAGGCTCTATTCCTAAAATTATACCTTCTGAATTAATATACTGGGTAAAAAGCTAAACTTTTCTTAAAAGGAAAATTTGTGTGTTTATGATGTTACATATTTTGTTCCTAAAACATTTCATTTTCTGGGCTAGTCTAATTATAGTTGAAAGTAAAATTATTGTCTTTATGTAGAACATGAGCTTCTTTGCTTGAGCCAGACAGACTCTAATTACCTGCAGTTGTGAGACTGCATATTAATACCTGATTAAAGACTGAAAGCACATGTTGCTACAAACAAGTCCATATTACAATTGAATGTAGCCTGAAGAACAGTCTATTGTTAATGGGTAATATGAAGTTATAATTAAGTGCCATAACCTCAGTGTGAATATAAAACAGTACTGAATTTAAAATATGTGCTAATATCCTTAGGTAACTTGGTAACATCCAGTGTCCAGCCATCTCCACACTTATTTTAGAAAACGTGTTTTGGCATGTTAATTCAAAATAGGGATAAGCTGTCAGACAAGCAAAGTGTACTTGTACAAATCACATTTTGCAGTCTTCACTCATGTCTTCAAGCCATTGTAAGGACAGACTAGCAGCCTGTTCAAATAAATTACCTTTGTATTTAGAAATTACATACATCTCATTCCTATTCACCAATCAGCTATGATCCTAGATAGTCAATAATGTTTGGGGGATTGTATTGTCATTTGTATTGGTTCCTTGGAAGTTAATTATTGTTAAGATCATTGAGCATTTATTTGCATTAATTCTTCACCATCAAACCTCTGATAGAAATGGGTATCAGACAAACCAGATTCAAGGACCAGTTGCATTTAAAACTGCTGTACATGTCCTATGCAACAAAACTTCAAACTAATGTTAATATCTCTCAGTGATGGTTCTCCTTAGATTTTGTGAATGTTTGTTTCAAGCCTTGTTGTAATTTAGATAAAGAATCTTTTTTTTTTTTTTTTAATGGGTAATGATTTGTTTAAAATGCCTCTTGGGGAGAAGAGTAGGGAATTTAAATATATAGTTTAAACGATTTTTAAATATTAGTCCTTGCAGGTTATAAACTTAGGGTCATTCAAAATTTTTAAATTTTCAATAACTTTTAAAATCTTTCCCCTTGTTATCAGACACCTAATAGATTAATCAACATTTGTCAAACATGAGAGTCCTGATTAAAATATTCATGACAATTTTTATTAATTTATTAATTTTGCAATTAATTTTTCTGCATTTTTCAGATAACTCTACTCTAAAAAAATATGGGATCGTAGCTAGAAGGACTTCATCTGAGTCACAGCAGTGCCGTATAAGAAAGTGTTTGTGTTATTGGTCTAGCTGAGAACAAAGGTAGATGGAAAACTGGGACACTGGACAAGATCTTTAGATACATCACATGTTATAAGTGTATAACAAACTACTGTCTGACATGTACAACTTTGCTAAGTTACTAAGTTGCCAACTTTAGGACCTAGACGAGACCAACCAACCACCAAACAGAATTTGACCAGTTAATTATCATAATCACTTTTATAAATGCAACTTCTAAAAAGAAAACAAGCTCGCTATTTAATGATTCCATAAAAGTCTGGGGTAAAATTTCCTAAAAGCACAAGGACACTTCAGCACCCAACTCCATTAGTAGTTGAGCAGAAATGTCCTTTGCGCTTCTGAAAATCTCCTCCCTCTTGCTAGACTTAGGCACTTTGATGACGACTGTTAGCCATATCGGAGAGGTTTGGCCCAACCTTTCTTCTAATGCTGTATCTTTTATCTAGAGGCTGTCTTATTTTTTTACCAAATGTGACAAGTGGAATAAACCTGCCTGCTTTTTAGGCAGTACCCTTTTACAGATTTGCTATGAGAAGCCAGTCTTTAAAGCCATGTTGTGAGTCACAAGCCAAATAAGGAAAATACAAATCTAACCTGACTGTGCTTGTGGCCACTGATAAAGACCAAAAACATTCAGGTACCACTTGCATTTAGCTCTCTTGGCTGTTGAGCTCTGTAAATACAGTGGATTCTCTTTGTAAGACTTTTCTTTTGTATATTTGCTCATGCTTTAAAAAGGAACTGTGCTATAAAAAAAGGCTGATGGGTATCCTCAGATGCAGTATCTCATCTACAATACCCTATAGTGCGAGGTTCCCATATGAGACGCTGGTCCAGTTTCAGTTGATGTCAACAAGAAAAACCACACTGATAACTATATAAGGAATAGTACACCTGGTTATTAAATTAAGATGACCTGCTGGTTTTTGTTTTTGTTTTTGAGACACATGGCCTAAACAACCTATATTCTCTCCATTCCCAAAGGAAACCCAGCAGAATATTTTTTTTTAAGTTATAATTAATCTGAGCTATAGCCCATCATGATGCCAGACTCAGATGCTCTCTTGCTTTCCCTGTTCTAACTGACCTTTTAAATCTAGAAGGTGTTATATAGTTACAGCAAATAGGGACTTATTCAACTCTCATTCTCTGCACAGAGCTCCCATTGCCATGAATGGGAGTTCACACAAAAATCAAAGGCAGACTCTGTCCCTAAATGTTATTAAAATAGATTACTTTCACCGTGCAACTTGATTCTGCTACATGGAAGCTCCTTTAAAGGAATCCCCATGGACATCAATGAGAAATGCTGCTGGAGGTGAGGACAGTATCTAGATCATACCATTGCAATATGATTACAGGCTTGGGTTCTCAACAAAACTGAAAGGCGGCATGGTCCCAAATCCTATTGCAATCCTTAACCTCTGGTGGGCTCCTTTGAAAATTCTAGTCTCAGTCCTCCAAAGTTGGCAAGTAGGATGACTATCTTAAAATACAGCTTTCTGTTAAGCTTACCAATTCTGGCGAAATTAAAGGTTTCAGGTTTTTGAGTTTCTATAAGCATCCCTGAGTTAGGTAAGTTCTGCCTCCCTGTTACACACAGAAACTGAGAGGGTTAAGTGACATGCTCTGAGGGTGTATCTACATGTGACACTATGTTGCCATAGGGGTGTATTAGGATGACCTAGATGATGTAGCATCCATGGGTGTCTGTATGTGACCAGCAGCTACTTTGCCATAGCAGTGCACTTCCCCCTTATAGCGCGCCACTATGGCAAAATATCTGCTAAAATAACCATGCGCTGTGAGTACAGCTCAGTACAGGCAGTTATTGCACCATGCTTTAGTATTTCCAGAAAGAAGTACTAAAGCACAGCACAGTAACAATGTTGCCATAGGGTAGTGTGTAGACATGCCCTGAATGTACATCGAATGCACCAGGCAAAGGTGAGATAAGAAGTAGGAACTGCTGGTTCCCAATTTCACACCCATTCCGCTGTCCATGAGAGCAGTTTTATTAAATATTAATTTTGCTGCAAATTAAGCCATGTCTGCAGCAGCCTGTGATTTTAACGCCAGCAAATCTTTGGGTATGACTTAAGAATGCAGAGTGTTTTTCCTCTCTCATTTTGCAGTCTCTCACAACAGATCCTAATCCCTCTAACTCCCACTAGTTTCCTATATTCGAACCTGGCAGCTCTGCTTAGGATAAACATAAATGGATTGAAGGATATTGCGGCAGTCAGAAAAAGACAAAAAAAGCCTGCATTCTGCCAGTTTGCTCCCATTTTGTTCGAGGTCACTCTGAAGCCAGTCTGAAACCATTCCAGGATTCAAAATCCAGGGTTTAGTGTCAGAAACTACAGGAATTGGCAAGTTTAACAGGAATAATAAGAACAGTAAAAAAAAATAACCCACACCTAAAACCCAGTCCTGTAAGCTCTCCATATGTTGACGTTTCTTTTAAGTCATTGATTCAAAAAAGGAACGTGTATCTAAGCTCCACTGCCATCTTAAATTTTGCAAGGTGTAAAGTAAGGCCTGAATATGTAACTCTAAATATATCCCCCACACTCAGCTAGCATAACTGCAATCTGAACTACTTATTTCTCCATCAGCTTGAAGATTGTTAGGCAGGCAAAAAGTGCCTAAGCCAGGTCATGCAAGATACAAAAGAATGTCTAACTTCTCTGTTTAATGTTTGCTTTTTCCAGGGATGTTTTAATTAAGATGTTGGTGACATCCTAAAATTGCTTTTGACTACCTGCCTCTTTTGCTGTTTCATTATCTGTCTTGTTCAGTGTCTATATAAGTGAAAAAAGAGAGAGAGGATGTCTGCCTCTTCATAGGTTAAGATTGCTGATTTATAGTGATTACAAAGTAGGTGGGTATTATCTGGCTTTACTATCATGTAAACAGAGTCAAAGACTAATAGTGAATTCCACAGTATTCATTGTATTGGTAGGACCAGCTGTCCATTCACTTATTTGATATCAGGAACACTGCAAATAGATCTTACCCTGCCAAGATATCTCCCTTAAAACTACTTTGTAAAGTTAACCTATCAAAATAGCTTACAATATAATTCAATAACTGTGTAGTAATAAATATATATTCTTCATAACAATGTACAAGCACAGTATAGGCTACTGAATGTATTATACTCAAATTATGGCTTCTGTTGAAGGTTCACTGTCTTTGTTGAGACACTGATGCTTTTATTTGTACTTAAATATAGTTTCTATTCATTGGCCTATGTCACGGGGGAGGCCAGAGTTAGAGCATAATGGTTTCTATGGGCCTAAAATCTACACGAGATCCATCTACACTGAGCTTTCAGTTTGGCGACTTGGAACATGTACTGCTGAGTGTTGTAAGCTATGGAAAATACCTGGTGAAGTATAAAAACAAAGCAAAACAATTATGTATTACACCAAAAAGTTTCCAATGGTTAACATGTGAGCAATGAAAAAATGAAGGGTTGTAATGATAATATTCCTTGCACACCAGCCACTCATCTTCAGCAAGAGTATTGCCTGGTTTAAGACTGTGGGATCATGGCTGTGGCTTGTTTTCACTGTAAAAGAATGTGTTGTATTTTAAACTTTCTGGACTATTAAGAGCTCAACACTTATGGAAATCCAGCCAGCCTGTAACAGTTCTGGATCTACATGAAGAGCAATTAAGTATGCTGATATCAACATGAATACAGGTGACCGATTATCTAAACCCTTGGCAGAGAGAATTAAATAGCACATGGTTCATGAACAAACATTAATTAATATTTCATGAGCAAAAAGTTTGGAAGGGGGGGGGTTTGGGCAGCTGAATAGCATTTCCTTTGAAAGAGGCATTGTCCTTTCATTGCTTATTTTAGACAAAGTCAGTGTAGAAAAGTTTCATCCTGTACTAGCATGCACTCTTGAATTTGCATTGAGACCTCTCCTCCAAAGTCCAAATGAGTGATAACTAGAAACATAAGACATAAACTAATGTCCCAGTCCTGTGAGGTCCAGCTATACCATCTACCAGTTGGATGGCCTCCCCCTGCCATTGAAGTCACTGCTGAGCTGTTCACAAGAGGATTATTAGATACATTTCCAGCCAAAGGAACAAGATCCTCATATGATATAACGTGATAGAACTCCACCCACTTCTGTGGCTTCTTGACATCAAGGAGTTCTGAGCTACACTAATTGAGAATTTGGTCCAAAATAGACTGAAGCAACTAACTAAAATAAAAAGTAGGATTTAATTATTTACAGTCTATAATATTTAATTACCATAAGGAAGGATAAATATGACTGTAGAGGACAGACAGCATATCACGGGGAAACAAAATATGAACTACCCTGCATGAAAGTTACTTTGTGAGAGGTGGAAGTTACATTATGAGCGGTAATACATTTTCCCAGGAAAGAGTGGCTCTTATTGGGCATGGTTTGGAGTCCATATTTTTCATGAGAAAAGCACTTTGAATGAAAAGCTTACATTAAGATTAACAACAAAACTCTGCATGCTTATACAGGCTAGATCTTCATAATGCTGTCAGGCTTGGATGATGTATTGCAGCATTATTGCTATTTATAATCAACAATTACTAACACTATAATCAAGTAAACTTAGTGGTAGCAATTATGGCAACATAAATAGCAATCCATATGCTATAAAAGCATCATTATCGATGTTCTTGGCAACTATAGCCATAGAAAATTTTCACGGGAAGATACTGGAAGTCTATATACCAGCTAGGATCTGCTAGTCTTTTTATATACCATTTTTAATAAACTTCCTGAAATGAAGCTTCGGAAAGGTACACTGCCTCTTTAAAATTAGTCTAGAACTACAGGTAGTTCACATTATTTTTAAAAACAATAAATATATGTCTATATTAAAATATATACAAATACTTAAGTTGGGTGGCCTACCTTATGGAAAGGCTGCTGCTATACAGAATTCTGAGCTAATGTTGTACTACCTTGTCCTTCTGTTTTGTAGATAGTCGTCCCTTATTAGACGAGGTTATGTTCTTGCTCCACAGAAGGTGCCTGTGTATATAGCTCCTTTGTATTGCTTTCTGCAGAGTCCCTTATATATTTCTTACTACTAATGCTGTGTAGAAACTTAAATCCAGAGATTTTACTACTGATAACTATTCATCTAATGCCACTAGCAAAATAAAGATTGAGTTGTTTGAGAAACAGATGATTTATATTGTGTACGGTTTATTGCCTAACGACTTGTTTTGTGACTGATTCTTTTTTCTTCCTTCTGGCCCCTGTTGCTTTTTATTTTTCCAGCTACAGTGTTTACTCCTCAATTTGATTAACTAGCGGGCAATAAAGTATATTGTACGTTTTGAAACCAAGAGGTGTGCTTTTTTAATTATCCATTGGGGAGGATTAAGCATGGGCAGAGAGGACATGCAGATGGGTTGCAGCTTTTCCTCAGCACAGCAAAGTCTTTGCCAAGTCTTTTACCATTCAGTAGACAGTGTCTTGATGAGACAGGATTGAAATCATCAAGAAAAAAAGCCATTGCCTTGTACTGAAAAAGAACTGAGTAGGAAGGAGTATTAAGCCAAAAGCTGTTGCATCTCTGTTTTCTATGCAACGTCAAGAAGATGCGAAAACCACACACACAAAACCGAACACAGTTGGGTGCCAAATAAACATGTTTACTAATTATATACAAACATGCAAGACCTAACTATATATGCGTGCTGCTGCTCTGGTGCAGTTCTGGTGACTTCCATAATAGGAGAGAGAGGACTGCTACAAACCTCCCAAATCATCCAGGTCTTGCATACTACAATCTGACCTGTTATGAACATATATACATTATGAATAGAGTTGCATCAATCCATGCCAGTGGGAAAGCATTTGTATGTATGTATGTGTAAAGCTGTTCCATCAAATTTAATCTATTTTTTATTTGGAAATGAAAGTTTGGACAAAAAACGTGGCATTTTTCACTTTCCAAAATTTTCAATGGATACTTCTAATGGGAAAATGTTGATGTGTTGACATGGATGTAAGACAGGCTTATGTTTTCCTTTTCATTCTCTTTATTTGCCTTATTGCCGCTGTAACCAGTTATCAGTCAGGCCAAACAAGGTATCACATGGCACTTTACTTTTTTTTTGAATGGGTGAGTATACGATGGGGAGAGTATAGTCAAGTTACGTGCAATTCAGGGAGGACTGAGTTTGCTCTCTGGAAATCCAAGTTCTGAATTAGAGGGATTATGCTTCCCTTTCTAGGCTATAGGTGTGGGCTGCAATAAGTCTAAACTCCTGTTTTTGCTATAAAATAATCATGTACAACACAACAGAGTAGTTTGGATCTCAGAGGTCATCTCTGTGTTGGGCTATGGGCAGAAAGTCAACAGGTCAACTGTGGAGACCTGCACAGTAATAGCCTTGCCAGTCTCAGGAGCAAACAGCTGTGCAGGTAGCAGGATTAAAGGGGAAATGCAGCATCTCCTCCACTGAAACCACAGGGGAATCCTTCCACCTTTCCTGGTTCCCTGTCTCAGGGTGGAAAGAAACCACTTCCCTTCCAGTAGAGTTTGATGAGAGCTCTCTCAGACTTTCTGGTAGGGCTTTGCAAGCTGCTATTAAAGAAGCGGATGCCTTCTTGACTACACTTTGCTAGAGAAAATAATGAAGGAAACCAGAGACTGGGAAGGAAATGGGGGTGGGGAGGGAGGGAGAGAGGGAGGGCGGGAGCACAATGAATAGAGAGGAAGTGGTGAACGTTGCTCTCAAGTCAGAGAAGCCAAACAAGGAGAGGCGGAGGCATCTAAGTGCGTTTAACAGAAGTGTTTGGTCAGTCTGCACGGTGGCCTGCAGCAGGTGCGGGTGGTGTCTGGGGAGGCCCGTTTCTTTGTGGGACATGGCTGCCATGTTACAAAAGGAAGAGTGCCGGTGTGGGTGAGGGGAAAGCTGCTGTTCAAGCTGCAAAGGAGTGTGCGTGCCCAAAATCTACCTTGGCACTTGGTACTTCAGTCTTCCATCTGTGCAGCCATCAGAGGTGCCCGATAAGCTGCTAAGACACTCGGACATGAGCATGGCAATATTGTGGCCCCGAATCCAAGAGTAAAACCTTGGTGATGTGCCAGGAGCCATGTCACAGGAGGCAAAGGCCTCTGTCATCTGGTAACTGCTGCTGCTGTCTAAAGGGACAGGCCTCAAGTTATTCTTTCCTCTCCTCAAAAGGGCTGTCAGGCAGTGAAAGCCTAGCTCTGTAAACTGAGTAACTGGGAACTGTGCTTGATCAGCCATGTGAACTGGTATGCCAGGCACAGTCATACAGCCGGGGTCCCCACTTTTTGTTAATTAGTGCTTGGTTTCCTGGGAGTTGTACTGGGGAGAAGACCTTGCACTCCCCACCGTCTCCTGCTGCATGAGCAGAAGTGGTGGTGTAATCATTTGCCAGCAAGACGGAGCATGCAGACTGAGAAACAAAGCTCTGCCAGCAGTGTATTAGAGACAACTTAGCCGATCACTGATGAGTGGACTCCCCTTGACTCGGCAGCAGAGAAGTATGTGATTTTTTTTTTTTTCCAGGCTCATAAAGAGAGTCGCTGGAAGACTGAATCAGGAACTGAATTTAAACATCTGGAGTCTTTCCTCCCCAAGACTGTGGGCACTAGATGAACTAACTGAAAACTCGTCCTTCCATTAAACACAAAGGGTGTTTTATGTGCGCTCAGGGGGCGGAGGGGTGGAAGGAGGAGGAGGGAAGAGGGGGCATTTTTACACAGGTCTCAAAGCTGCTTTAAGTAAAGCACCCAGAGCATCTCATGTATCAGTGTCCTCACACTTCAAAACAGCAGCAGGGCAGCCTTAAAGCTCATTGAATGAGCTTTAGTTAAAGTGCCCCCATTGCCATTTTGAAGTGGGGCGGATGCCAAAACATATGACGCAGAGGCTGGCTGGAGCATGGCAATTACCACGCTCCAGCAGACTTGATTAATCAAGTCTGAACCCATGTGCTGTAATGTAATTACAGCATGTTGGAGCAGACTCCAACGCTCGTGTATAGCCACCCAAAGTATCCATATATGGCTTTGAAAGAGAGTACCTGATAGTGGGGCCTGAAACAGCCTGAGGAAAAGGCATCTGGGTTCTGTTTCTGCTTTGGCTATTTTATGAACTTGGCCAAATCATTTGCGCTCTGGCTGCTTCTGGTTTCTACTGTGTGAGGGCCTTGCCTCCTCACTGAAGGCAGGTGGCTGCCTTCATTCAGGGGTTTGGCAAGCTGGTAACAGCTTCTGTTTAAATAGGGATCTCTGCAGGAATACTGCTGGCAGATGCTTCTGAGATGATGCAATGAAACAGGATCTCTTCTGACTGTCTTGGCTATATATTCTTGAACTCCAGCTAGCAGACCTGCTTGGGCAGTACTACTTCTTTGGCAAGAGTAATCTGTCTATGGTGTTATGCTATCATATCTTCTATATGGCTGGCTGCCTTGGCAACTTTATTTATGCTGCCATGCTGGTAAATCAGAATTAAATTGGGCTCAATTCATTACCTGGGGTTAGAACCTACCACGCATCCCAGCACAGTTTGGAGGATGTGTATGAGTGAAGCACTTGGAAAAAGGCAGCATGAAAGTACAGAGCACCTTACAAAGCAGTATCAATGTAAGCCAGCAGCCCAGAGCTTCGCAGAGAATAGAGGTGGCCAAAGCTCAGCATTTAACATCCTTGGGAAAGTTTCATAGTTTCACAGTTGGTAGGGTCAGAAGGGATCTGAGCAGATCATCAAGTCCGACCCCCTGCCATGGGCAGGAAAGGATGCTGGGGTCAAATGACCCCAGCTAGGTGATTATCTAGCCTCCTTTTGAAGATCCCCAGGGTAGGAGCAAGCACCACTTCCCTTGGAAGTTGATTCCAGATTCTAGCCACCCTGACTGTGAAGTAGTGCTTCCTGATATCCAGCCTGAACCTACTCTCAAACAACTTACGGCCATTATTCCTAGTTACTGCTGGTAGTGCTCAGGGGAACAGGGACTCTCCCACAGCCTTCTGGTCCCCCTTGGCCAGTTTATAGATGGCCACCAGGTCCCCTCTCAGCCTTCTCTTGTGGAGGCTGAACAGGTTCAGGTCCTGTAGCCTCTCCTTGTAGGGCCTGCCGTGCTGTCCTTGAATCATGTGAGTGGCCCTCCTCTGGACCCTCTCCATATTGGCCACATCCCTCCTGAAGTGCAACGCCCAGAATTGGATGCAGTACTCCAACTGTGGCCTGACCAGTGTCGCATAGAGGGGGAGGATCACGTCCTTGGGCCTGCTCGAGATGCATCTGTGGATGCATGACAAGGTGTGGTTGGCCTTCCTGACCGTGTTCCCATGTTGGCAGCCCATGTTCATCTTGGCATCAATAATGACTCCAAGATCCTTTTCTGCCTCTGCACTGACGAGACAGGAGTTCCCCAGCCTGTAGGTATGCTGCTGGTTCTTCCTCCCCAGGTGCAGTACCCTGCACTTGTCAATGTTGAAACCCATCCTGTTCTCATCCGCCCACCCCTGTAACCTGTCCAGATCTAGTTGCAGCCTGTCCCTCCCTTCTAGCATGCCCACCTCTCCCCACATCTTAGTGTCATCCGCAAATTTGAACAGGGTGCTTTTCACCCCCTTGTCCAAGTCGCTGATGAAGATGTTGAACAGTGTGGGCCCAAGGACCAAGCCCTGGGGGATCCCACTGCCCACATCCCTCCAGGTCAAAAATGACCCATCCACCATGACTCTCTGCATGCGGCCCTCCAGCCAATTTGCAGCCCATCTGACTGTGTAGGCATCAACGCCACAGTTGCCTCATTTTTTAATGAGAATGGGGTGACAAAGTTCAACATTTTGTTTTCTTTATTGTTGTTTTTCAAAATCAAATCCAAAACTTAAAGTTTGAAATTGCCTGCGAAATGAAACATCCTCAAAAACATCCACTCTCAGGTGCATCAAATGATTCGTTTGAATAAAATAGGTATGTCTTGCTTGGTAGGGAGTTAGTTTTAAATATAATATAATATTTTGCTTTGAATAAATATCATAATATAAAGCCATAATTAACATTCTAAATGTAACTGTACTTGGTTTGCTCAGTGCTGTTAACCAGTATTCTAACTTGTAATTGCTCTTCTACCAATAACATATTAAATAATTGACTTAGTATTTGTCATTGGTGTTATACTTATTTTTACAATTTTAACAATTAGAACAAGTTTAGAAATACCAAATGTCAAAACAAAGCATTATAACAATCTACTCTGCTAAGGAATGTTTTGATCCTTGTCAAAATGGTTTGTTTTGATTTGTTGGGGTTTTTTTTTAAACCAAACGTTTTTCCTACTCCAT